CTCTAGAAATTAATGTATCAAATAAGAGTTTTCTGTGTAATGCCAAAGCCATTTTTGGTTCCCCAAAGAAACTTTCAGGAAACATTTCTTAAAAGTGGGGATGCTATTGGTTGATTTCGATACTTGCTGATCTGGCTGATCTCTTGAACCGTTCGCAAGTATTTGTTTATGCTTTTACAAGCAGACGAGGTAGTGGGTTATGCATACAGCAGCTACAACCTGAGAGGATAGGGCTGGGCGATATGGCAAAAAAAAATTATCACAATAAGTTGATATCAATAATTATCACGATATATGTCAAATCTTTACATCTATCAATTTTATAGGATTTTTAGCCTGCCTATCGCTTTGTGCAGCTGATTTAACACATTTTGTGAAATGTTTTAGCTGTCAGACAATATAAATAATAATATAATTTAAAAGGTAGCCGATAACTAGCTCTCTGCAACTCTGCAAATCACCCACTGAAGCTAAGCAGGGCTGCGCCCGGTCAGTACCTGGATGGCAGACCACATGGGAAAGCTAGGTTGCTGCCGGAAGTGGTGTTAGTGAGGTCAGCAGGGGGCGCCCAACCTGCGGTCTGTGTGGGTCCTAATACCCCAGTATAGTGACGGGGACTCTATACTGCTCAGTGAGCACCGTCTTTCGTTGTTAAACCGAGGTCCTGACTCTCTGTGGTCGTTAAAAATCCCAGGATGTCCTTCGAAAAAGAGTAGGGGTTCCACCCTGGCATCCACTGGCCTCTGTGCATCATGGCCTCCTAACCCTCCCCATACTATAATTGGCTTCATCACTCTGTCTCCTCGCCACCAATCAGCTGGTGTGGTGAGTGGTCTGGCGCAAAGTGACTACCGTCGCATCATCCAGATGGACGGGGCAACCATTACTGCATCCAAAATGGTGAAAAGCTTTGGAGTAACGATTGATGACCAACTAAACTTCTCTGACCACATTTCTAGAACTGCTCGATCGTGCTCGATTCGCACTCTACAACATCAGAAAGATCCGACCCTTCCTATCCAAACATGCACCTCAACTCCTTGTTCAAGCTCTTGTTCTCTCCAGACTGGACTATTGCAACTCTCTACTAGCCGGTCTCCCAGCTAACTCTATCAAACCTCTTCAGCTTCTTCAGAACGCAGCAGCACGAGTGGTCTTTAATGAACCTAAAAGAGCACATGTCACTCCGCTACTCATCCGTTTGCACTGGCTGCCAGTTGCTGCAGTGGGTGATGCTGTCAGCCCCTCCCCCGCCTCAGAGCACTGACAGGTGGCCCAGTCCTCGTACAACAGCCTTTCCCACCTGAAACCTGACAGCAGATCACCCTTCTGCTTACCGGCAGCGAATGATTTAGCACCAGCAGTGTGAGGTATTTCCCTTGTACACTCAAACCGATCTGCTTCTCCTTTATTTTAACAATTTAATTTGGCCTTTTATTCTTTTCTTGTTCACAGTCACAGACATTATAAGCGAGAGTTTCAGAACTTGAATTAATTACGTCTGAGAGATTACTGCAAATTCATTACACATCTATACTGATATACTGTATTCAAACAGCAATAAATTTAGTTATATTGACATGCTTACATAAAGCGTAGTGCAAATATGAAAACCCCTTTATTGAGCTCGCTATATACTAATAACTACACTGATGGACTTGGGATGTGGAGCGGAGTTGACCGCGACGACGGGTCAGTCAGTCGACAGCAAGCTTGCCTGCTCAGCTGAAGTGTATATTGCTCCCTCTGGTGGATTTATGCAAGAAGTAAATGTGCAAGAGAAATTTGAGATCATAAACACAGCGGCCTCTGGTGGAATTTTTTCAAAACAAAAACTGAACAGACGTACCTCCAGGCATGTAATTCACTGTCCCCAGAAATGTAGACTTGGGTACAGTTGAAGTCAGAATTATTAGCCCCCCTAAATTATTAGACCACTTGTTTATTTTTTCCCCAATTTCTGTTTAACGGAGATATATTTTTTTAACACATTTCTAAACATAATAGTTTTAATAACTCATTTCTAATAACTGATTTATTTTATCTTTACCATGATGACTGTATAATATTTTACTAGATATTTTTCAAGACACTTCTATACAGCTCAAAGTGACATTTAAAGGCTTAACCAGGTTAATTAAGTTAATTACAAGTTATTGTATAACAGTGGTTTTGTCACGCCTGCTGTAGTGCCATCTTGTGGTTTTCTGGACACTAGTTATATTTTGGTTTGTTCCTGTTTTGTAGTTCACATGATCACTAATTGTTTCCAGCTGTCTGTCATTGTCTAATTATTGTTGTCTTTATAAGCTTTAATGTTGTGTTTAGTTTGCCTTTGGATTTTTGCTGTTTGCTCGTGCACTCCGTTCACTCGATTCTGGTTTTGTCCGGCTCTTATCTGGTCCTAGTCTGCTCACTGACTCATCGTTTTGGTTTGTTTGTTTGTTCACTTTGTTTCATGTTATGATCATATTTTTGAATTGCTCCTCTAACTTTGTTTGATACACTTTTGTTTATTGGGTTGTACTTTTGTCTCTGTTCGATTTTTGAACCTGGCCTGTCCCCTTATTTTATTTTAAACTTCTATTGCTGCACTTGGATATCTCTTGTATATTTGTAAGACCATCGTGACAGATTTGTTCTGTAGATTATCGAGAACAAATATTTATATTAGCTTAAAGGGGCTAATAATTTTTACCTTAAAATGGTGTTTAAAAAATTAATAACTGCTTTTATTCCAGCTGAAATAAAACAAATAAGACTTTCTCCAGAAGAAAAAATATTATCAGACATACTGTGAAAATGTCCTTGCTCTGTTAAACGTAATTTGGAAAATATTTAGAAAAGAAGAGAAAAAAATCAAATGGGGCTGATAGTTCTGACTTTAACTGTATGTATCCGCAGTGAGCTTGGGCTGGGTGTAAACACAGATACCAAATTATTTTGTTAATAACGAATATAAAGGAAATGTTTAATTTCATGGGGTTTTTAATCAGTGAGACTGTTGAAGCAGTCTAAATAAGCGGCTGTGGCTCTTTAAATGCAGTTTCTCTGTGGGTGATTCTCCACTGCGTTTACTGCGTCTCCAACCTCTTATGATCCAAACAATTAATTTGAAACCATCCATTAACACCAGCTGATTATTATAAGAACTTGTTGGCTTTTTCAAAGCCGCTTTTAATTTGTTCTGCAGGGATACAGAAATATGACGGCAAGCTTTTTATTATCTAAAACAGTCATTTCTGCTTTCATGCTATGATCTCGTGGGGGAGGAAAGTGAAAATTTGTTATTTGAAAGCGAAAAAGCAACACTGAATAGATGAAAGTGATAGTCTTTTATTCTAATCACATAATGGGTTTTATTAATTCAGACTTTTTCATATTTTCTGTAAAGAAACTTGCCGTTTTACTAGATATCTCTTTAAACCAAGACCATAGGTCTACATCATAACTTACTAAATCTACAATTATTTATGAATAATGTATCTTGACCTCTTGGTCTCTCAGTACACAATTTTTCTGCTTATCTTGCATTCATCGAACATGCTCATAAATCAAAACAGATATCTCTTTTTTTCTTTCATACATTATTAACATCAAACTTCATAAATGTAAATGCAACGTTGTAAAATAAATAATACTGTCTTGATTTTCATATCTAAAAGGTCATACATTTATGCATTTTTTGCTATTTCTGCGTAGAATTTTGGTACAAATCTGCGGATTTCTGCTGAATTATTTTGGGAGTATCATAACTAAAATCTTAATATGTGAAATAAAAAAAAAATCTTTTTAACTTTTATTTAATGTTTAAAATGCAAATCCAATTAGATCCACTTTATTTGGTAAACAAAGCAAGTCTCTCGTGTAATAATCTAATAAAAGACAGAAAATATCACTGTACAAACTGCACTGTACATAAATCAGATGAACATTTTCACATTAGTCAATAATATCCTGAAATTAATTTAATAAATATTCCCAGAGATGGGTTGCGGGAGGAAGGGCATCCGCTGCATAAAAACATGCTGGATAAGTTGGCAGTTCATTCCGCTGTGGCGACCCCGAATTAATAAAGGGACTTAGCTGAAAAGAAAATAAATGAATGAATAAATTTAATAAATATAGATTTACCAGCCTGATCTCATGAGGAAACGTAAGTATTGTACGTTTCGCCAGATAGTGGCTAATTCGTACGAATTCGTAAGAGTTCAGTCGTACAAAATGTGCGATTTTTAAAAAGGGGGCGTGGCTCCTAACCCCAACCGTCATTAGGTGATGATCAAATCATTCTAAATTGTACGAATTAGATTGTATGAATTCATACGAAGTAGCCATTAAATCAAAAAGCTATGAACTGCCGTAAGATTGCGTTGAGATTTACACACATTTACTCAAGTAAATAAACAGAATTAATGTGATGGGCTAAATATCTGCGGAAATCTGTGGAAAATATGTGGAAAATCTGCGGAATTCGGCCCGTGCAGATTCCATGTAGGCCTAATGCTCCACTTGTTTCAAAACTGTTTGAGTTTTTGAGAACTGTTTGAGAAAGGGTTATGCATAAAACTCCATTGGCGTCCTTCATATTTTTGCCTTCTCAAACATCTTCAGCAAATCATGTTGTTTTTAGTAGAAAAAAGAAATTCATAAACATTTACAACCACTTGAATGTGAGTAAATACTGAGGAAATGTTTATTTTTGGGTGATCTGTCCCTTTACTGTAAAAAAGGCTGGGTTTCACACTTTCACACTTTGTCATCTTAACACAAATTGATAAAAAAAGACTGCAGTTTATTATATTGGATTAATAAAAAAAAATTGTATCAAGCATCAATATTTTTTTAAGGGATTATAATGAAGATAGAAATGTAAGTCTCATGCAGCACTAATGTGCAGTTTGAATTAGAAAAAAAACTGATTTTGCTTTCTCTTTCATTGGACATTTGATTTCAATGCTTTGAATCTCTCTCTTTCTTTATCTTCCTCTGCTCTTCAGCTTGGGAGCTCTTGTGGGGTTATCTATAGCGGCTGTGGTGCTTTTGGCCTTCATCATCACTCTCTGCGTGCTCTGCTACCTGTTCATCGCCACTAAACCGCGAGGCTTGGACAACGGGCTGCCACTACGAGCACCAGGTACAAAAAGCAATTCAGTGAAAGAACCCACACACACACACACAAAACATCCTGAAAGGAAAGTCCTTGAAATGCAGGAAATGAGCTCAGTGCTTTTATCTCCAGCATGGTTCAGCGCATTTAGTGATTTTTTTTTTTTTTTGGTTGATGTGGTAAATTTAGTTTTGGTTTGGTCTTTTAGCAGCAGTGCTGATCTTAATTAAATGCTGGAAATGTTCATTTGTGGAGTATTTTGGCAACACTTTACTTGAAGGAGTGTTCATAAGACTGTCATGAAACATTTATAATCAAATGACTGCATGTCATGAATGAGATTTTATGCATGATTAAGACAATGGTTATTGAGTGCCCTTTGCTCAGTTATGCCATTTTAAGTGCAAAGATGGCATTTTTGGTGTGACAGCTTGACATAAACAAATTAAGTTTTTTTGTCATGACAACTCGACATTACCATACCTGTCAACCCTACTGTTTTTTCTGGGATTCTCCCGTATTTTACAGTTCTATGCCGCTATTATCCCGTAAAGGTATTTTCCCATATTTCTCACGTATTTTCAGTCATTCTCTGAAGAGTGGCAAATAAACATTAAAGAGCCGAGCTTCCCTATTCTCAGCCCATACTGCTGAACCACCAGGGGCCGCCCCTTGCTCTTAAATGCGAGTCTGTTTTGTTCTTTCGCTTTGTTTAGACATCAAAACACTTTGAAATAAATATAAAAATAGCGTGATTCCCTTACTTTTCATTACAGGTGCCGTCTCCCCTTCATATGCAATGCTCAAGACAGTCATATAGCAGTGCGTGACTGTCAGCTGACACACTCCATAGTAGAGATCTGCACGGGATTTTGAATCCCGCTGCAGCCCGCTCCCGCCAGGTTTTAGCCCGAACCCACCGCTCCCGCTTATATTCAGCATTTGTTGTCCCGCTGCCCTACCCGCCGTGCCCGATCACACTAAAGAGCAGGGGGAGAACAAAACCGAAAACCACCCAGCTATACAGAATCCAAACAGCCTATAACAAGCTGTCTGTATAAACACATACACACACACACACACACACACACAGCAACAAACAAGCTAAACACAGCTTAAAGGTGACTCATCCACACACATACATACGCGTGCTAGCTCGCTCGGGAGTTGGGAATGATATTGCTAGACAGCCCGCTCCCATGCAAAATTAAACCAGTTACCGACCGCTCCCGCGCTTTATTTGGAAAATTACAAAAATAAAAAATTAAAAATGCAGACCTCTACTCCATAGTGATAAATAGACGCTGTTTCCAAAACAGATTCTGTACTCGTGATTTTTGGGTGCGTGTTTAAACATACATGTACACATAATTAATAATAATTATAATAATATCTAAAGATGTCGATCTTGGTGTGATTTTTTTTTTTTTTTTTTTTTTTTTTCCCAAACACAATTTCATCCTAAATGAGCATAAACAGTTAGGAAAGCAGTCGAATGCTTTCATTATAACGTTAGACGTGTGCTTTTTTAAAGTGACACCTTTAATTTAATGTAATTAAACGGAAAAATCTAAATAAATCATTCATTCGTTCATTTGTTGCTCCTTAATCAGAATGTGTAAGTTATACAGTGAAAAAATGGATAATGAGATTTGATTCTATTTCATTATAATAGCTATTCATTTTAATAAGCTGAATTGTTTGCTAACTTATTTGCTGCTACTGTATTCTATTTATTGTTTCTTTTGTAAATAATAATAAACATATTATTGACTGTTTTACTGTTTATTTACAATGAAACAGAGATAAATATTGAACATATTTAGTAATTTGGGGATTTTTTTAAAGGGGGGTCAGGGGAATCCCTTATTATGGTGGGCATATCCCTTATTTTCACATCCTAATGTTGACAGGTATGCATTACCAAGACAATATAACTAGTAATAAACATAATTGTCATAAAGTCATTATAATTGTATCATGGATATTTTTCTGATTGCGTTTTCAGTGGAACACACTATATTTGTAAATAAAATGTCTTGTTAAAAGTGTCTTTACTCTATCAAATCATTTTAAGGGCGTCATTAATGTTCAATGATATTTTAATTACAAACTCAGCTTCTACCTATAATGTGCACAGGAGGCGACAAGGAAGTGTCAATCTAAATGCAGGGTTTAATAGTAGGATGGCAAGCAATGGTCAGCACAGGGGCAAACAGATGTATACAGAGAATCCAGAGATGTGGTAAAGCAGCAGGCAACGTAAACAAACAAAACAGCTAAGCAAAGATCTAACACGTAAAGTCAAGGCCAGGAAAACGCACCATAATGTTCACAAACAGTATAACAAGACTCAACACTGATGTGTGTGTGCGCACTGAATTTTTTTAGTCCTTGTAATGAATAAATGATGAGCTTCAGCTGTGTGTGTTAGCAATCAGTGGGAAAGAGGAACAGGTGTGAGTGTGTGGTGCATGACTGGATCTTGTAGTCTGGTGATCATAACAGTACCACCGGAGTTGAGGTAAAAAAAAATATTAATGATGCTGTTATAAGATTCATGACATTTATAATGGCTTTATGACAATCATGTTTATGACAGATATATGATACGTTTTGTTGTCTTTATGGCAAGTTGTCATGACAAAGACAAAAACAGGTTGTGATGTATTTGTTTAAGTCAATTTAATGATCCCAAAACAATCTTTACAAATGGCTGGAGAACTACAGATATGTCACTAAACTGGACTACAAATAACATCATTCACCTTACGCACATCAATGCCTGTTTCCCCTTATCACAGACTGATTGGCTGGACTTTATATTCACCCCTCACGCACACATACATGTTGCTGAGTCTTGTTTACCCTGCATAGCATTTCTAAGCGTTTTTTTTTTTTTCATGTTTTGGTCTTTGCTCTGTTTACCGTTGTGATTCTTTGCCGCCTAGCCTGACCCTTAGCCTGTGTTTTTTGGACTACCCTAAAGCTCCTGTCTGCTCCTGTTTCAGACCATTGCCAGCACAACTTCTCTGTAATGAACTCAATCCAGGCTCATTCTGATTTTGTACCTCCATATACATTTCTAGAGAGAGCAAAATACGTCCCAGGAGGTTCGTTTTTAAAAGTTTTTCTTTTCACAAATCCTTCACAGGCAGCTGTATGCGATTTTTGAGATCTCAAATTTTTCTCGTGAGTGCCATTTACGCCTGCTGTTCTAGCATAAATCCACTCCATAAATCCAAGGCCAATGTCGACTGACTGACTGATCAATTACCCGATACCCTCACCCATCCCAACCCTATACCCAACCAATAGTGTTTTCAAAAGCAATGCAGAAATAGAAAAACCCTTGTCTGATTTTTACCATGTTTTCAGATTTCACCACATTCTCACCCTGTTAGTTACTTCTTTATTTTTTGACTTCTGTTCTTGTCCAACCCTCTTTCTGTAACCGTTCTTTGCCAGACTCAAACCCCGTTGTCGTGATCAACTCCCACTGTGTCTTAAGTCCGCCAACCACGGTTTAATTTGTGCCAGACCCGGATCTCATTTTACTGATCCCCCTCCTCAACCCCCACCCCCCATTACCGCTCTTCACTTACTTTTGTGACTCCACAACCCTCTTCACTTTCGTCCGTGAGACCGCCTCCACCCCCCAAACCCTCCTCTCTGCTTTACACTTTCGTCCGTGACACCTCTCTCAGCCCCCCCTTCGCTCTTCACATTTGTCTGCGACACCTCTCCCTCCTCTGGTATCATGCCAGATCCGTTACCCTGATCTGTTGACTGGACAAATTAAGCACTGCTAAGCACTGCTAAGCACTGCTGCCAACATACGTGTTGAGCTACCGGTCAAACTGGTAACAGTGGGAAAGCCGTCTACAGGGATGTAAGCGTTCACTTAATAAGACGAACTGTGGCCATACGTACTTCTGGCTACATATTTCGCAATCTCCAGAAATGTACATAGGGCTACATTTTCAGAATGAGCCTATGTTGAACGAACTTCACATGGATCCACATGTCTATTGTCCAGCATATGCCTCATTATAGTCAAGTTGTCAGTGTAAACAATGTCATCTTTGCATTTAAAGTGTTATAACCGAGCAAATTACACTTAATAACAGTTGTTATAAACATGCATAAAATCTTATTCACATTCATGACATGTCATGATTATAAAGGTTTAATGACAGTCTTATGAAGTTCCCTTCAAGTGTAGCAGAATTTTTGTCCTTGTTGTTAATGGTAAAGGATGCACTGTTTAGATTAAATTTCACTCAATATTTATAATTCATTTAAAATGTATGTTCCATTTAATGTACAGTGATTTGTGTGCAAATACAAATCTGTTTACTTATGCACAAACCAGCACACGCCAACCTTCTTATTTTCATATATGAATGATCTTGAGTTGTTTCTGTGATCCTATCTGTTATTTATTCAGCGAGAAAATAGAAAGCTGCAGATGAATATGAATGAGTCAATTACATTCAGATACGCAAATCATTTGGCATGATTATGGGAAATCACCATCATCCTGACAAACAGTCATTTACACATCACATATGATTGCATGTGTCACGTTTTCTGAAGCGAACGAATGGATAAATATGTAAGGGATCATACAGTATGCATTTTTGTTGTTTGTCTTTATATCAAAGTCGATAACACGTTACAATAACTACACACAATGAATCATTTAATAAGCATTAACAAATAGTTAATTCATCAATTATTTAAGCATTACCTCTACATTATTAGACATTAGTTGGACCGGGGGGTGGGGGGGGGGCAAGTTTGAGCACTCATTTACCCGGTGCCCCGGGCTCTGCGTTGGTTAGGGAAATTATAAATTGAACCAAAACACAAACCATTACAATTGGTTTAAGATTGGCAATGAAAATTCAAGACACTAACCTGCAGAACCTGGAAATTTTTTTGTTTTAACTCGTTTGCTTTCTAAGCAGCGACTTTATTAAAAAAATAGTTCACCCAAAAGTGACAGTTTAATCACTGTTTAC